CCAAACAAAATGTTTTCCCAGTGAAGATCCCTGATCTGACGTTGGCTCATCAGCTTGCGCAGCTCTTCCAGTGTTGCAGCACATCATCACGACGAGGAGGAGCAGCACCGCAGAGCAGAAGAGATGCCGGGACATGTTGGGCCTCTGCGGCTCACTCTCTCTTCCTTCCCTCCTCCTTCCGCTGGATCCGGTCACGCGGCGACGGTTGTGTGTGCGGAGTGCCATGACAGCTGCAGAAACACGTGAGAGCATATAAATATGTGTGTGTGGGCGGTGTGTGTGTGCTGTTGGTCCTTTCAGTGCCTTACAATTTCACAGTAGCGTTTAGTGCTTGTTTGCTTTCTTCGTAAGAGAATGAAAGAAATGAGGAAAAACAGGCTAATAAAAAGGGATGAAAGAATAAGCACCGACACCTACAGTAGGCGGCACCGTCATCCCCGCCGCAGTCATTCCCAACAACAACAACTCATGCACACAGACGCACTGAACGAGACGGAAGAACAGTGCACCGATAACACACAGCGACTGCCACCAATAGCAGTAAGAGCCACAGCGGGTGCTTCTGCCACGCGTCAGCACGCACCGAGCGACACCCATACCCAGCAAAGCAACCGGCGGAACGCAAAAGAGCACAACGACCCTTCGCAGCACCCGCGCGCTGCCGCAAGTCCTTTTGTTGCTGTCTCCTCTAGCACACCCGCTCCTCAACCGCCACAGGCGCACATCGCCCCGCACAGGCGAAGAATACCCCGTCGGCAAGCTCACAGCAAGAGAGACACTTCGGCACGTGCAGCTGCTGGGTGAGAATCCATGCGCACTTATCCCAAGGCAGCCTCAACAACACTCACTGATTGCACGCCGCCAACATCACACCCGCAACACGTCGTGAAGGCATACGAAGGGCTCACGTCCTCCCTCCTCGCGAGGGCCGCCGCAGCCAAAATCTTTTGCATGTGTGCGTTCTCAGCGTTTACACCGCTCCACAACGTGAGCGAAATGGTGTATATGTGGTTGTGTGCTTGTCAGCGTATATAATTACAGAGCATCAGTACGGCACAAGAGAGCCCAAAGAAAGCAACGGCAGAGAGAGGCAGATAGCACACACGCAAATTACTCATATCATCACACACACACACGCAGCCCGCGGAATGGGTGCTCTCAACCACAAAACAATGAAAAACAAAACAAAAAGCCGAAGCGTGGGACGACCAGCACACACACTCTCATTGCTCCCGTAAAGCAAAACACACACACAGGGAGAGAGAGAGAGAGATGTCGCCCACTCAATGCAATAAAAACAAAACAGAAACAGTTACGGTGCTCCGCCCATGCAGCCAGGCAGGACGGCAGCGGTGCGTGTGGTGCAAAAGAGAGCACCAACGGGCCTGCATGGGTGTGCATGCAATATATACAATGGGCACATTATTTGTGTGCTTCGTGGGATGAGGTTGAGGCGAGAGTCCATGCAACGGGACACACAC